CAGTTCTTTTTAAAATGAAAACCTATTACTAATATTCATGTCTTGAGCATTTTGCATATGTTAAAAGATACATTAAACAAATACTGTAATTTTTTAAAAATTGGATTGTTACTAAACTTATCCAATAATTAGGTCAAATTTTCAATTTTCTAGTTTAATACCTAAATCCAAGATGAATTAAATGCTTATTTTGACAAATGTCACTGGGTTGAAGTGTTGATAACTCTCTGAAATGGATGAACAACTACAATTAGCAATAAAATTTTAAATTAATAGAAACTGTACTCTGAATGATATTAGTATTTCCAAGACTTCTGTGAATCTTATGGGAATTATTAGAAATAAAAAAGGAAAAACCTATTAAATTACTAGAATTTGCCAAGTTGTAAAGCACAGAAAAGTTGTCATGCTAAATTAATTGAATTACTGAGAGTCCAAAATTGCGAATTATGCAATATGTGCCATAGCTGATTCAACAGCTTTTCATTTTTCTCTGCTTTATAACTGCTGTAATTATAATTTCCTTTGAATCCATAAACTATGCCGAAATGTCTGGTTTCTAAATGTTTTAAACTAGCACAAATTCACAAATGAAATTCAATTTGACAGAAACATTTTGAGTGATACTGCAGCTTTCTCTAAGGACTTTTTTTTAAACAAACGTCTCTTTCATTACACAGGAAATTTACTATGAAAGAACAAAGGAGTCAAACTGTCCTTGCTTTTAGTGTTGGAGGATAAATGTACATCAATGCTTCTGAACAAATAAATATATTTGAAGGGTAACAATTATGCATTAGGACATTTTAAGATTAAAAAAAAAGTTCTTCTGTCACTTGCAATAATTCATTCTCCTACTGTGTGGCCAAAAAAGAAATTAATATGTAATTCTGTGCTCTAAGAAAAGTCTGTTTTTGCAAAGTCTTATTCCAGTAGCTTAAAATTGATATGGGATAGGCAGAGAGCTAGCAAGGTCTGTGGAACTGCATCTCATTCTATCCTCCTCCTTGTCATTCTGTCTTTCAAATAAATAAATGTCTTTAAAAATATTTATGCTTGCATGCCTGATAATTGGGTTCCTTGTGAAGAATGTGAGCATAATCAGGCCTCTAAACTTTCAATATTCTACTTTTGTTGTATTCATTATTTTAGTACCAGTATAAACTTGTAGCAATAAATAATACATCAGAATTAAGAGAGTTAGTGATGACAATTTTTCCAAAAACAGTATGAGGTAAAGCCGCCACCAGCAGTGCAGGCATCCCGGCAGTGCAGGCTCTGGTTCCCAGCTGCTCTACTACTGATCCAGCTCTCTGCTAAGGCTGGAAAAGCAGTAGACCAAGGCCCAAGTCCTTGAGCACCTGCACCCTATGGGAGACCTGCAGAAGCTCCCGGCTCCTGGCTTCTGATTGGCTCAGCTTCAGCTACTGTGACCATTTTGGGAGTAAACCAGAGGATGGAAGATCTCTCTCTCTCTCTCTCTCTCTCTCTCTGCCTCTGTAACTCTGTCTTTCAAATAAATAAATATATCTTTTAAAAACAAAAAATAGAATGAGAACATGTCTAGTTAAAAGTAAATTGCAGGCCAGCACCGCGGCTCACTGGGCTAATCCTCTGCCTGTAGTGCCAGCATCCCGGGTTCTAGTCCCAGTCGGGGCACCGGATTCTGTCCCAGTTGCTCCTCTTCCAGGCCAGCCCTCTGCTGTGGCCAGGGAGGGCAGTGGAGGATGGCCCAAGTGCTTGGGCCCTGCACCCCCATGGGAGACCAGGAGGAGGTACCTGGCTCCTGGCTTCGGATCAGCGCAGCGCACCGGCCACAACGTGCCAGCTGTAGCAGTTACCTGGGGGGTGAACCAACAGAAAAAGGAAGACCTTTCTCTCTGTCTCTCTCTCTAACTCTCCTGTCAACAAATAAATAAATAAATAAATAAACTGCAGTAGTGGGAATTTAGCCTGGTGGTTAAAATACTACCTGTACTGGACTGCTTGAATTGAGATGCCAGCTCTGGTCCGCATTCCAGCTCTCTGCCAATGTGCAAACTGGGAGGCAGAAGATTACAGCTCCAGTCCTTGGATAACGCAGTCCTGGACTGAGTGCCCAGGCCAGCCCTGGCCATTGCAAGCATCTGAGGGGAGAGAAACCTCAGACTCTCTCTCTGTCTCTCCATCTCGCTTTCTCTCTCTCCCTCTGAAATATTTTTAATAACTAAACTCCACTTAAAAGGGAAAACATTATATGTATCTTGAGAGAACCTAACCTCCTAACTTTATAAAGGAAAATAAAGTTCTATTATGGCTAAATTATTCAGTCATTAAATATTATTAAATATCCAATAATTATAAGGCATTCTATCCCTGCTGGGATTACAGTGAGACTCATGAACTGATACCATTACTGTGCTCCTGAAGTCTAAGCTCCAGTGGAAGAGAATGACATCAGATAATAATTACTTCATAATCATGAACTGGGATATGTGTACTGAAGAAAATGAACAAAGTTCAATAAATGCTGAGATAGTAATTACAAAGTAAGATAATACTGTTGGTTGCTCAAACCTAAGGGACAATTTCTATGTAAAGAATTAACCATGAGAAAATAATCATCATGTGTAGTCATAGAAAACCTCTATGAGGCACATCTTTCCTTCAGGTGAGGTAAATGAAGTGTAGTAAGGTTAAGTAAATTGTTAAATGCCTCACAGATGGTAGAGTTAAACACCCCAAGCTGTCTCAATCCAATGTCCATAGCCATGAACACTGGTTCATATAGTCGCCAAAGATACACAAACAGAAAACAGTTCTGTATCTTCCACTGTAATTTTTTAGGTATATTTATCATTTTTTATTTATTTGAAAGGCAGAGCTACAGAGAGAAAAGGGGGGAGATAAATCTTCTGTCTGTTGGCTCAGTCCCCAAAGCCCACAACAACCAGTGCCAGGCCAGACTAAATCCAGGATCCCATAACTCCATCTGGATCTCCCACATGGGTGTCAGGAACCCGAACACGTAAGGCAACATCTACTGCCTCCTAGGTTGTGATAGGAGGAAGCTGGATCATAACTGGAGGTGCCAGGATCAAGTTGGCACTCAGATATGGGAAGCTGGCGTCCCAAGCAGTGGCTTAACTTTCTATGGAACAATGCACACCACATCCTTTGTGCTTTTAATCCTGAAAGAGGGCTAATACCATGTCAATTTTTCAAACTCAAGTGCCTGATTGAAGATGTGGCACAGTAGATGAACAATCATTATTAAACTTATGAGTACTGAATAAGTAAGTAAAAATATCAGAGAATACTTGCTGTCAAGATCATTATAGGGCTTTCCTGCAGGGTAGAGGGTCACTGAGGAAAGTCTTATAGAGGGGGTAAGAGTGAACTGTGCATTCAAATCTGTGTATGGGCAAGGAGGTGGGGAGCAGAGAAATCCAGCATATTATTTGGAAGGATTATAAGAGAAATATGGGTACATTCTTGTAGTCTTGATAATATTCAGAGAAAAATCTAGTTTTTTCATTACATTGAAGAACAATGATAATATGATCTTGATCACGACTTACATTTAATATTGTTCTAAAATGTTTTCCAATGTCATTAGACAAGGTAAAGAAATCAAAATTGGAAATAAACTGATAAAGTTACCATTATTTGCTAATGATATAATTGTTCATACGGGAAAGTCAAGAGAGTCATTTGAAAGGCAACAAATATAAAAATAGAAACAAAAGGGATTTTGGAGGTGGGTGTTTGGTGTAAGAGTTAAGGCATTGCTAGGAATGCCACTTACACTGGAGTACCTGGGTTCCACTACTGTCTCCACTCCAACTACAGCTTCCTGCCAACACACACTCTGTGAGGCAGCAGGGGATGAATCAAATACTTGAGTGTCTGCCACCCCTATGGGAGACCAGACTGGGTTGCTGGCTCCTGCTTTGGTCTGGCTAAGTCCCAGCTGTTGTGTACATTTGGAAAGTCAAAAAGCAGAGGGGAGATTTCTCTCTCTTGCTCTCTCAAATAAATAATAAAAATTTAAAAATTAAATATTTAAAAAAATCAATTAATATGGCAATATGCAGTTTTTTTTTTTTTTTGACAGGCAGAGTGGATAGTGAGAGAGAGAGACAGAGAGAAAGGTCTTCCTTTTGCCGTTGGTTCACCCTCCAATGGCCGCCGCGGCCCGGTGCACTGCGCTGATCCGATGGCAGGAGCCAGGAGCCAGGTGCTTTTCCTGGTCTCCCATGGGATGCAGGGCCCAAGCACCTGGGCCATCCTCCACTGCACTCCCTGGCCACAGCAGAGAGCTGGCCTGGAAGAGGGGCAACCGGGACAGAATCCGGCACCCCGACCGGGACTAGAACCCGGTGTGCCGGCGCCGCTAGGCGGAGGATTAGCCTAGTGAGCCGCGGCGCTGGCCCAATATGCAGTATTAATATATGGAAACAAATTGGCCTCTTCTAATGAAAAACTATTTTGAATGCATCATGGAATTAAAACCCCATTTTTTTTTTTTTTGACAAGCAGAGTTAGACAGTGAGAGAGAGACAGAGAGAAAAGTCTTCCTTTTCCATTGGTTAACCACCCCAAATGGTCGCTATGGCCGGTGTGCTGCGGCCAGTGCGCTGCGCCAATCTGAAGCCAGGAGCCAAGTTCTTCTTCCTGGTCTCCCATGTGGGTGCAGGGCCCAAGCACTTGGGTCATCCTCTACTGCCTTCCCGGGCCACAGCAGAGAGCTGACCTGGAAGAGGAGCAACCGGGACAGAATTTGTCACCCCAACTGGGACTAGAACCTGGGGTGCCAGCACCACAGATGGAGGATTAGCCAAGTGAGCCGTGGCACCGGCCATAAAACACCATTTTTAATAAATAAATTACTTAAAAAATGCATATGAAAAGTATGATATGATTTGACGAAAAATTTTAAAAGATCTTTAGGTATACAAAGGAAATCCTGAAGAAATGGGTGGTAAACCATATTCCTTGATTTAAAAAAAAAGTTTCATATACTTACCTTGCAGGGGAGATACCATGATCCTGAATGTGGGTTTCCCAGGGCCAGGCTTCTCCACTGTGCTCAGGATCTGCTGACTCCTGAAATCTGAAATAATTGTGGGAAACTTGACAGCATAATTTGTGGTGGTGGGGACTGTGTTTGTGCTTTTCCCTGAAAAAAAAAAAAAAATCAGTTTTATAAAGATATCAATCCAAGTTAATCTAAACATTCATCGCAGTACAATAATGTATCATTGGATCTTCAAAAAGAATTATAGGGTCGGCGCCGTGGCTCACTAGGCTAATCCTCCGCCTTGCGGCGCCGGCACACCGGGTTCTAGTCCCGGTCGGGGCGCCGGATTCTGTCCAGGTTGCCCCTCTTCCAGGCCAGCTCTCTGCTGTGGCCAAGGAGTGCAGTGGAGGATGGCCCAAGTGCTTGGGCCCTGCACCCCATGGGAGACCAGGATAAGTACCTGGCTCCTGCCATCGGATCAGTGCAGTGCGCCGGCCGCGGCGGCCATTGGAGGGTGAACCAACGGCAAAGGAAGACCTTTCTCTCTCTCTCTCTCTCTCACTGTCCATTCTGCCTGTCAAAAATAAAAATAAAAAAATAGGAATTTATAGAATATTGGAGAAAGTGGACAAATAAGATAAACCAGAAACTTTTTTTTTTTCTTGACAGGTAGAGTTATAGACAGTGAGAGAGAGAGACAGAGAGAAAGGTCTTCCTTCTGCTGGTTCACCCCCCAAATGGCTGCTACGGCCGGGGCTGCACCGATCCGAAGCCAGGAGCCAGGTGTTTCTTCCTGGTCTCCCATGCGGGTGCAGGTGCCCAAGCAGTTGGGCCATCCTCCACTGCCCTCCCAGGCCACAGCAGAAAGCTGGACTGGAAGAGGAGCAACCGGGACTAGAATCCGGTGCCTATATGGGATGCTGGTGCTACAAGGCGGAGGATTAACCAAGAGAGCCATGGCGCCAGCCCCAAACCAGAAACCTTTTTAAAAGTAAGAAGGATAAAGGGGGCACTATCCTATCAGTTATTAAAATGTATAAAGCTTTAGTAATTAAGAAGGTGTGCTGTTCTAATAGACATTAAAATATAGTGTAAAGCCACAGAAATTAAAGTTTGGTTCTGGGGCCTGTACAGTCATTTCAATCAAAAAACAGTGGTACTGGATATGGACTGAATAGAAGTTGAGGCGTTATTGGACTAAACTATAAGTAGTGTAGTGTATGGCTGTGGTGAGGAATGCATGCAGAAGTATGGTTAGATTTGAGGATTAGAAATCATAGGACCACAAAGAATTTTCTTTCTCATTTTAAAGAGACTGAATTTCAATTCTGAAAGACATTTAAAAATAATTTTTGTCAGATTTCTACATTAAAAATTCACCCAGAGAGCATGTTGATTTGAACAGTACGGTGTGGACCTCTTTTTCTCTGCTCCTCCATGCACATAGAACTGTAAACTCTGAAAACAATGAAGCCGCAACCAAAGGAACATTCTAAAAGTTGGTAAGAAGCAGGAAAAATAGTTTGAAGTTGCAGAAATGGAAGAATAGCCCAGGGAATGGGAATGACAGGGAAGCCTATATATTGTCACCAAAGAAAAGGATGAGATGCAGGTCAGAGTTTTCTTGAACCACCCCCCGCCCCGCCCCCCAGCATGAAAAAGCAGCCCAGGTGGGTGCTAGCCTCCTCTGGAACCACAGGAGTCCCTTTGGTTCCTCTGAAAACAAAAGCTGAGCTCTGCATCCCAGTGCACAGGATGCACTCTTCCTTGTAGGACTGGGGATATGAACCGACATAAAGCAGCTGGTTGGCAGCTGTCAGAGGGACCCACCACAAGGAATCATCCGGCTCTGGAAGCCATTAAGGAAAACAGCATGAAATTAATGCAAGAAGTTTAAAAAAACAGAACCATCATATGAACCAGCAACCCCCACTTATGGGTGTATATCTAAAGGGAAAAATTGGTATTTCAAAGAGATATTTGCATTTCCATGTTCATTGTGCCTTTGTGCATATTACCTAAATCATGAAACATCCAAAATATTCAGCCATTTAAAGAATTTCTACATGGATGAAGCTGGAGGAAATGATGCTAATGAAATAAACCAGACACAGAAAGACAAGAACTGTATGATCTCAGTTAATAAAGTTAAACTTATATAAGCAGAGAATGGAGCAAACAGTGGTTACAGGGACTGAGAGGGATTGAGAAATGAGGAGATTTGGCCAAAGGGTACAGATTTTTCACTTAGAAGAAGAATATTTTCTGGGAATCCAGTGTGCATCACAGTGACTATAATATATACTTGACACAGTGACTGTAATATATACAGTAATATATACTTGAACTTCACCAAGAGAGTAGATCCTCAGTATTTCTCTCTCTCTCTCTCACAGAGACACACACACACACACACACACACACAGTGATATGTGAAATGATAGATGAAACTAAGTAATTTCATTTTGGAATCATTTATACACCTTAAATATATTTAATTTTCATAATCAGCATAATATGAAAAATAAGTAAACCTACAAATGCCTAGTGTTTGATGATTTTTGTGCTAGGCATTTTTCCTGTCCTTTTAAGTACTGGAGCAATCAAGTAGAATCTGGCACATATGTTTTCAAATTGAATTCAGACAACTTCTGAGATTTTATATTTAGTGGAAAGATTCTATATCTATTAGACATTTTGCCATATTTGTATTGCTGGATTTCTTCCAGTTTCTTCATTCTGCTTCCAGTTCACCTGGTTGTGGCAGTGGTAATAGTTGTGTTTTTTTTAGTTACAGATTGATTTCTCTCTAAATATAAAGCTTCTTTTGTTAATCCCTCAGCACTATTAGTTCTCCTTGAATCCATCACTTCATTCTTTGTCCTATTTGCCCTGCTAAAAGCATGGAGAATATTGAGCCTCAAAGAGTTTATTTTTTCTAAGAGTACACAGCTAACTGGCATGAAGACTAATTATTTCTGCAAAAGACTTCTTCTCTACTAAATTTTCTTGTTTTTTAAACTATTTATTATTTATTTTTATTTGGAAGGTAGAGAGAGACAGGGATAGATAGACAGAAGAGCGCTTCCATTTTCTGGTTCATTCCTCAAGTGCTCACGACAGCCAGAGTTGGCCAGACCAAAGCCAAGAGCCTGGAACTCATCTCAGAAGCCCAGAACAAAGCCCAAGTTTTTTCCACTATGCTGAGGCATAGGAGAGCAAGTATATAAGCATAATATCCTTTTTACTCTGTAATTAAATGTTTTGCAAGATTTTTGAAAGAAAAATCACCTTGATTCTTGGCATATGTTCAGATACTGATTTAATGGCTCTTGAAGTAGAATATACTGTCTTCTGCAGTTGCTAAACCAATTGAAAGAAATGGTTTCCAAGGACCATATGTCTGCCAAAAGGCTATTGTGAATTATTGTAAATATAAATTATTGTCTTGCCAGGATACAGAGATTATTTCCATGTTAGAAATAGTCAAGTGTGAATGGGTTTCTTTGGTAGGCATTGGGGAACAACCCATTGTCTTAATTGGCCAACTACAAATTATTGTATTTTAATTTTCTGCTATATCATTTGATTCATTTGATTCCATGCATCTTTGTAAATTTACATAGTTAATAATAACTTTTCTATAATTATCCTGGCAAATCACACTGTTTTTCCTTGAATAAAATGTTTATTCAACTTAAATTGTTACAAAGATGTTATATACAATTCTTGCATTTAGACATTTTAGCATCTATAACTGTACGATTTTGTAACTTCTAATAGTTTAAGTTCTACAACATTTTTCACCTCACTAATTATATGTTATTGAAATTTTATTTCAAAGATAATAAGTTATTGATTCATTATTAATTTTAAGAGTTAATGATCTTAATATGGTTATAATATTTGCAGTTATTTTACATTGATAAATATTGAAGTGATTGTAAAATTTTCTGAAAGGGATAATTATATGTCTTTTTGTAAAAACAATCTAAACTATGTACTTTACATAGTGGTCATTAATAGATAGTATTTGAGATTCAAATGCTTGAAAGGATCATTAAGTATTTGACTTTGAAAATCTTTGAAGTAAACATTTTAAACCTCAGTGTCTTTATGAAATGAATATAGTATCTACCGTACATATTTGAGGCAAGAATTAAATGAGGTTATCAATTTAAAGAGTGTGATGGTGAGACAATTTTATTATCTTAATTTTGTTTGATGGAAATATTTTAAAATCATTAATATACCACTTACAAATCATATAAACTCATACATGATGCAGTGTTTCTTTTCTTATTCTTAATTTCTGGTAATGGTTGAGAAAATAAATTAAATACTGTCTAATCTGCTAGAAGAGAACAATAAAGTTATGATATTCACATCAAAATTAACCAAGATTCTTTTAGTATTGAATATTTAAGAAATTTAAGAAAGAAATAAAGAGCTTGTCCAGATGAGTTCATACCGAATTGAACCTGCAGAAAATACTCACATAAATCAAATATATTTAGAACACTCAAGTGTGCTATTATTTTTTATTTTAATAAAAATGATGAAGTCTATTCCTTTTAACTCAATGGGGAATAATTAAGGAGAGATTATATTTATATATTTAATTTGTTTTTGACATCCAAACATGGTTGAATAACAGAATTACAGTACCATATTGAAAATATTTTAAAATGACTTAATGATTACCTTCAAGGTTTGTTTAAAGATTATTTTATGTATATTTAGTATACTACCCCATGTTGTAGGCCCTTTAACAAAGGATTTTAACATTTAGTATTCTGTGTAGTAATCTTACTGTGGTCCACTTGATGGCAGTATTGTACTTGGTAAAATAACTCGTGTTGTGTGATTTTTATACTTGGTTTCCTGTGTAATAGTGTAAGTAAGCCTTTCAATTAAAATATAAATTATGAGAGACTTATTTTACGTGAATACCTAAGTGGTTATGATTCAGAATATTTTGTGTAGGAATCAAACTGAATGTTACAAAACTGTTACATGTGGGAGAAGGAGTACTCTTGACAAATAAGGAAGTCAAAGTTTTCCAGGATTTACAAAGCATTGGCTCTGAAAGATTTTGTCTTTCGTCATTCTTATGCACATCTTCTTTACAGAAAAATGTAATTAGGAACTTTATTAAAAAA